TTGGTATTACTCACTAAGAGATGGGAAATCTAGTTACATATTAGAAAGACTCTCTGAAGCAATGCGTTAAGCTGTATTACAAGACTTGAGCAGTGGTGGCAGACCCAGCCTTCTGTAAGCCGTGTGGATCTCCTTGGCTTCTCTCAGCAGAGGAGTGTAGTTTCATCAAGGATATGCTGAAGGACCCTACACTTTATCTTGATGAATTTGGATACAGGCTTGCCGTCAAATGAGGCTTCCTTGTTTTGATCACAACCCTGGCAACGGATATATGAGATTGTCTAGCACTGACACTCAAGGTAACTAGAACGGTCAAACCAACCCAGTGTCCAGGCCAACAAGCTTACTTTGTCTATGAAGTTAGGGTGATTGCTCCTGATTGTTTGATCTTCTTAGGTAAGATCCTTTGGCTATTTATATATTAGATTCGGCCGTGTATCCTTGGATGGCTGCTTGGCCATATCCATGATTGAAGAATCAATCCACTGGCAGGATTTTGAAGAATTCATCACACAATACCTAGTGAATCCTGTGATTGACCAAGCAATATGAACAAAATGTAGCTGAGTAGGTGAATCTCACTGTCAATAATTCATGGCCTGGACCTAATAATGTCCTTGTGACAATGGCTCCAGGTATCACAGTGGCATTGTCCAAGAGCTCTGTGATCAATTTGGAGTTTTTCTGATGTATTTACCCACATACGACTACAAACCAATCAAGAAGTCATTTGATGTTACCAAGGCATGATTCCGTTGTGCCCATGTTCTTCACCGCAAGGTGACCCTCAAGGAAGAGTTTGAAGCAATTTATCTCACAGCTGAAGCTGTCCTTACTACAGTTTCTTACTGCAAAGTTGGTCCACATGGGTCAATCTACTAGGCCTACTTTTGTGGATTTAGTTAAATGCAAGGCTGATCCGGAGCATGTAGCTTGTATCTTTAAATCCAATCGTTTCGTCACATTAAAAGTTTAGTCTTTTTATAGTTTGTACATCAGTCTAGTGTTTGGTACAAACTATATGAGATCAACATAAGCCATTCAAATTTCTTTGCTTTGGTTTTGATGCCTCAGTGGATCGTGGTGATTGATTGTTAACATATTGACTGTAGTTCTGATTTCAGAATTTATAGCATCAATAGCTCTCTTCTGTCCTTTCATTGTCATGTTGATACTGTTCAGTTGAAAGAATTGGATTATAAAAAGCGACAAAAAATAGGAGTAAAGGATCGATTATGTTTGATGATAGGGATTATTAATTGGTTAAACATGATATTTCTACGAGAATATGATCAAAAGAGAAACACGAAAGAGGACAAATGGGAATGAGGAAGTAAGGCTAAGATGGATAGAATACCAAAAGTGGGAAGCAAGGAAACTTGCAAGAGTCTGGGTACACTCCTCATCAGGAAAGTGTCTCAGACTTCTGTCTCCAAGACGCGATCCTCAACTTCACTTTCTTCATCGATCGCGCACCAGGTGCACAAGGGGATGTTTCGTCCTTGGAGATGACCCAATCTTTAAGATCATAGCCGGGGTCTTCGAGTGCACGAACTAGCGTACCCTACCGCTTCTTACGAGTACTATTCATGAAGGCATCTCGGCTCTGATCAAAGCAGCAGCTTAACTGCGTGTCGTGAGCCTAGGGACTTACTTTAGCTTAAATATCAACACGGTGTAGCTTGAAAAAGTATGCCACTGTAGCGAGGGTCCCAGATGTAAGAAAGGGAAAAATCTGACCGAACGTTAAATTTTATTGAGCTGAATGATGATGAAACTTTGACAACAATTATTCGGTCACAAATAACCTAAAGCAGGTCTCTGACTTAGATTGAGATGATGGCGTAACATGAAGGAGAAAATTTCTAGACATTAAATTTGATCAAGCTGAAGGATGAAAATAAAACCTTGACAACAAGTATTCAGTCACAAATAACCCAAAGCGGGTCTCTGAGTTAGATTGAGTTGATGGTTTAAAGCAATTAGGGAACAAGCCTAGAGAAACTGGATCAAAAACAAAAAGTTTGCTAACATAGATGATGATGGGATGGTTTCAAATGTATTAGATTCTGGTTGAAAGGACAATCAATCATGATAAGAAGACGTACCATTAACATTTCAAGGTGCGGTTGATTATTGCATGAGCTCATGATTTAAATTTGCTTGGTGTCCTACAAACGGTACAAGAGGATATGAGTAAGCAGTTCGTTGGGAGTACGGATAGGGAATCACGACAGGTACACTCACCGCCTTGAGTTCTTGATCCGAAAGGAGGCTAAGACTGTTCCCAATCCCTCCCACAAGACCACCAACACCGCTCACTAAACCTCCTACCGCTTGACCGACACCACTCACGAGCCCACCGACACCTCCTAAGACACCACCTAAGATACCCGTGTAGTGATTGTACGAGGCTTGGCATTGGCCCGGGTAGGAGCACTGACCCCAAGCGAATTGCCCGCCGTACCCGTTACAGCTATCAAATCCGTAGTTTCGATTGATCGAGTAGTAAAAGTCCGAAGTAAACGGAACAGAGATAAACCCGCGATTATCGTAGGAAAAACCAGGTGCAAAACCACCGTTATAGAGGCCAGCACATCTTTGATCGATTCTTCCGCCCTTGCCGATTTGGCTTTCAAGCCGAGGCATAAGAGTAGTAGGTAAAGCCATGATAGCTTGGAAAGAGACCAAGACAGATAAGATGATGAAAGTAAAATTCATGATGAAGAGTTTTCGTAATTCGTAGAGTTTCGTAAAAAAAAAGATAAAACTAATGGATTTGATCAGATGATTAGATGATGAAGATGGATGAGGTTGCAAAACCCACAGTCAAGAGGCTCCCTTTTATATCTTCATTTTCACCTAAAGATTCAGTCATGGCTGTGCAGAAGAGGCCTTGCACGGCTACGATGAGTGATATTTGATTTTATTTCTACATAATGGAGTGGTGTGAGTACCTTCATATTATATAAATCAACAACAGGGCGTGTGCGAAGAAGCACCGGTGGCAAAGAAGTTGGGTTGCTTGCAGAGGTTAACTAACACCCGGAGGAGAATCCTGTCACTCGGTGCACACTCCGGCTCGAATGACAGAATTCTTCCTAAATTCAAAGTCACCTTGGTACATTACTAGCCTTGACTCTTGTGAGGAACTCGTTACATCACCAAAGGGTATTTGGTTTGTCAACTTGTCAAGGGTAAAGGTACACCAGGGGGTAAACTTCTTTGGCCTCAGATGGTTCTGGGAACCTGACGCACCTGTCCTGGGGCTGGCGGCTTTGGCACGAGTGATTCCTACAAGGCAAAGACCGCGCGGGTTGGGAGGCCCGGACATGATGATGTTGCATGAAAGAAGGGAATCAGTCATCAACTCTCAAGGTAAGAAGCTTCTCTCTAGTGACAGAGTCTTCAGGATGGATTATTGCAAAGCAGAGAAAATCTTCAAAGTCACCACATAACTTTGGATTGTACATAGAATTGTCAGTCAAAAGTACTCTATGTATTGGGTTGCTTGGCTGGAGGGACTACACTGGTGGACGCTACTTGGCCTGCCATTTTGGATTGATATCAATCAAATAATTTCTGAACTCAAGCATTTTGGGAGGTACTTTGATTGTGACAAGGGATGAGCCTGTTTGTCTACAAAAGATCTGGACAATGAAATATTAGTCAGCTGAAAAAAGGAACTATCTGCCCAGGTTCTTATCATCTGAGAATCAACATGAACCCAGTATCTACTGTTGGTTGGATCAAGATATCAAATATAGTCTGTTGCACCACCAATACCAAAGGAGTTTTGCTTCAGTGATTGCTTGAACCTCTGTGATTTCTCTTGGCTCAAGTTTGGCGCTGATAATAAGAAGAGACATGTATTGGACGAGTGTTCTCAGTACTTCCACTCTCACCAACTTTAGATCTAGTTATCAAATCCACTGGTTTCTTTTGGGTTTCAGTTGATTTGACCACCACAATTGGATTTATCATCTTCACATTTATTCCGGCTGAGTGACCAACCAGCACATGCTTCATGAAATGGTTTGATAAACTACCTGCTTGAGTATGGTTAAGTCCACACCAGCCTATGACCTTTTCTGGATTGGTACCAGTTAAATAGTCCCCAATGCCATTTGCAGTCTCATTCAAGATTCTTTCTGTCTTTGATTTCATCTCATTGACTGATACATTGAAGAGATCAATCTCAAACTTGAAGGCAGGGCTAGGGTTGGTTTCATGACTGGTATCAGAGATCCAAATTTTGGCTCAAGCAGGGTGTTGACTTTCTGGTTTAGTCATCTGGAATGCAGTCCATTCTTGCAGGTCCAAGCCTTGTATGAGACCAGTACAGATATGGAATGGATCTCATTTCTGTTTTTAATGGAGCTTTGGGTGAGAGCATGAATCTGCAACATTGTCTAGTGTGTGAGCCGGATTGTTCCTCTGGCACTGCAAACACAGGATCTATATGTTGATCTTTAAGAAGCAAAGATGGGCAGTTCATGATTGACTCAAAGCAGATGTAACTCAACTCATCAACTCCTCTCTTTTTCTATTTGAGCCTCAATTACATGCCTTCCCTTATTTCTCTCAAAGACGTGACCAGAATTTCCCACAGGACCTACATATCCACCCAGAACTGAAACATGGGGAATTTGTCTGGAAGGCCTGGGGTTTCAGCTGGTGCACGAACTTGTCAACATTAAGGGTTCAAAATCTTGACTTTCACATCATGTCAGCCCTTTGACAACTTGAAGCTTCATTAAAAAGATTGACTTGCTTTCATCATTGATGTTCAAGACTTCTTGACTGCCTCTTAAGCAATGTTGATTGAAATCAAGGTCTGCTATGTGTAACTAGCAAAGGCCTGAAGCTACCATCGCGGCTGGCCATGTAAGGATTTTATTTTGGTGTACAAAAAAGCATGTTAAGATCAATCATTCCTTGTTGTCTCACAGGGGGCAGGATCCCAATTCCCAGGTTGACAACTGGTAAAATCTGAGAATGGAGACTGATCATTGATGGTTTCATCACTTGATGATCCTGATGTAGTAGACAATTTGAGAGGCATTATGGTTGAACTTGAATGAAGTAACAGAGGTGAACACAAGATTGTGAAGTCAAGAAGTTGGTGAGGGGTCAATGAGGTCACTTATGAGTAAGGTTATTGATGTCACTGTGGTGAGAAATTGTATGCCAGGTCAAAATTTAAATTTAGGGATTTTTCTGACTTGAACCCCTCTGATATATTTCTTGAGGTGTGATCACCAAACTGTATACCATGTTTTTTTGCAATTCTATACTCATTAAGCCAACAATGAATTCATTCAATCAACTTCCAAGTTCCAGAAAATAAAGCTTCACAATCCAATCTCTGCTCAGTTCTCCTACAAAACTCATACCAAAAAGAATACCAATCAATCATAATTCGGATCACATAGTTGCATTCACTCTATACGATTTCTCTCAAGCTTCAAAACTCATAAAACAAATCTGAAGAAGAAAGAATTGAGAAACTGTTTGAACCATAGAATACACATTATGTACCATTACACAAACACATGACACACACAGAGAAAACATTCAAAAACGGCTCCGTTTTCTTAATGTCCACTTAAAGCTTCATCAGCCTTTTTTAAATCTCCTTCACTTAAAGTTTTCTCTTTACCTGCTGCCATCACTTTTCCATTTCCATTCACAAACGATCCACTCACTCCTGGTGTAGTTTGACCTGATGCAAGTCCAACTGAACCTGCTCGACGTTTAAGTACCAATGGGAATGGATAACCTCCTTCTTCATCTTCAGGATTCATAGTCGAGGTAGTACCCCAGCGTGCATTACCCATATAGTCTGACGTCCCCAAACCTTCCATGTCCTATTCACCACACATACACCAAAAAGAAATACAGTCATCAGCTGAACTTGGTCTTCTACATTTAATCTTCAAGCGTACCTCTGTTAAAGTTCCAATATCACCTGGAGTCATCATCCCAGATCGATACCTCGGACTACCAGGTGCACTCAGAGGTCTTCCCAACTTAGCCAAGCTCTTCTCAAACTCATCTTCATCCTCAGCCTGGAAGCTATCAGGATAAGCTCGCCTGAGAGCAAGTTGACGAGCCTTGGAGTATTCTAAACCAAGTGATTTCCAATCTAACAGATCAGATAGTCGTTCAGTCCGATTCCGTTGGTTGATACGTTGTCGTCGAGTCTTGGTACAGAAATCATACATTTGATCTGTGAGTTGATTGACCGAATCCTCAACTGATTTCATGCGTCGATCAACTATGTAAATCCCATATTCTTGTGGGTTTTCGATCAACTCATCCATGAAGCACCCAAAACCTGTCAAATTTCGGACTCATCAGTGAGGTGAACCTTGTAGAGGAATTGGGGGTGCAGTGAGCTTACCGGACAAATTAGTGGTGATACTTGGTACACCCATCACGGTACATTCTGCCGGTGTATACTAACAAAAGAAAGGCCAAGTCATCCATCAATGAGACCGCATCCATCATCACCAAAAAGATCAAAACTTTGAATGACTTACACCCCAGGGTTCGTAGTACGAAGGAAAGACGCCAAGATGACATCCACGTACAAACTCTTCATAATCGAGTCCAAGAATAGGATTATTTGAGTTGAGAAACTCAGGATGGAAGATCACTTTGACGCGATCCGAACTTCCATTGAACAATTGAACACGTCTGATCTGATTTAAAATTGGATCACTACTATCATCCGACATATTATGAGTCACTACTGGTGGGAGTGAGTTTCTCTTGAGGGCAAAAACTCGTCGTTTGAGTAGGATCTTATCTTCATTTGACATCAGAGTTGAGGCATCTGGAACTTCGGTTCCGATTGTTCCGGTGTATCGAGCGGTCATCTCAAACAAGCGATTCCCGATTCGGTTCTGAATCTCTGTTACCGTGTCCCGAAGTTGTTTAGTGACAGCTTGTCCTTTCAAAGCTTCAATTGTGTAGGAGTGCGTTGAGGCTGGCATAATGATAAATGCCACCACAGTCATCTTGGATCCCATCGCTTTCAATCGATGATTGAGACCTGTGTTGAATACAATTTCATTCAGTGCTACTCAGAGCCGGTTTTGTTTCACAAGTGACTTACGAGCTAAAGATTCAATAAACATATCCACTCCCTTGTTACGATACTCGTATCTTCCAGCCGTGAAGAAGTAAAGAGTGTTTTCGAGGTCAAAATCATAATGGCCATAAAAGTGACCGCGAACAAAGTCGTTGATCTTTTGTTTAGCCATAGCATGCATGTTTTGGAATTCATGCATGGCCGAGAACTTGACCACGTTGAGACCATTAGGCAAGACCCCATCTATATTCAAATGACTGATCAGAATCCACCGGAATAAGTTTCTTAGATGAATTTACTTACCAGGTTTCCTCTTGAGCAAATGCTCGCTCTCGTAAGCTGTGATATGCGAGACGGTAGTAAAGACATCCGCACAATGTGTTGCAGCTCTTTCAACACAGTATCGGTGATAGATCCCACGTTTTCCGGCCTCGTGGTCAACATCAAAGTATTGTAGGTTGTTGTAAAAGTCTACCGATCCAGCACAGAGATATCGGCCCAATAAGGTCGCGTGAGTAGTGAAGATCGTGGTGATGTCAATATGACGTTTGCGACAGAGTGGGATGGCTAGTCCGGCCAACCACTCGTGAAAATGACCGACGATGGCCTTTGATGTTTCACGGGATGCAAACTACAGAAGTTCCTCAAATTTGAATCAGACATTGTCAAGAAATAATGGTAAGTGATCAGAGATTGTGTCCAACTCACTTCTCCCAAAAACCAAGCCACAAGATAGCCAAAGACAATCGTGTCGTTCGTCTCACTGTCATTGGGAGGTGTTGGAATTCCCGCTAGATTCCATAGGTCACTCTTCCATTCATCCAATCGGTTCATCACACAACCGGTATCGAAAAGTAAGACTCTAGGTCCACCTTCGATCAACCAACGCCCGTAGAGGTACTTTACCCCTCGATCGCGCATCGATTGCAGCGAGTCTCTCAACTCGGGGGTCTCCGGTTCCATGGCTTCAACTTCCATTGGGGCTGATTTATAGGAAAGAGGTCCCATAAGACAGTAACGGTCCCCATACTCTTGACAGGTCACTGGTGCCTTTGTCTTGATGACGGTGTAGATTCCTCCGACTGTCACGAGGTTTGGGAAGATGATCGGGATGTGAAGCAAAGAAAGTCAGTAAACTGAAGACGATCTAGATCTAAGGCCAGACCACAGAGGATGGTTATGAAGAGAATGAAAGTTGTGAAGTTGTGACCAAGCCGGGGATGACGTCAGAGTCCCCTACCCCTGGCTAGCTGTGAATGGAGACCCAAAAAAGTCACAATTGTACAGGAGATGCTAGTGGAGTCTCTAGTTTGATAATGTGGGGTGAATCGAGGCGGGTGGAGCTGTACGTCATCATGACCATGGTTTTGGGCTTTACCCCACAGCCTTGCGAGAGAGCACCCGAGAGAGGGATGAAGGGGAAGGAAGAAAACCAGATTCACTGACCTTTGTTAGCAACCTATTAGTATAGAGGTGGTGATCGGATGTAAAAGAGAAATCAAGTCAACAAACAGTTCGCTTAAGCAAGAAAAGTTAGTTCAACTCACTTCCCAAGCGATCTCAAAGAGAAGATGGTTATGAACATCTCGAACACCAGGTGGAGACATGATGAAGATGTGACTAGTTTGAAGTGGGTTTTTTTGGAGAGAAGATAAAGAGTTTGATAAGATAGTGATGGTAGAACCAAACTCAGAGAGCTACAATATATATATAATATCCTGAATGACTGAAACCTAAAGAAATTAGATACGATGATGTAAAGTTTGAAGAGAGAAAAGCGAAATGAAGGTTGGGGTTATTACACTTGATCGATGAGAAACAATACTTTTTAGATATTTAAGTTAGTTTAAACAGTTAACTTGAAAATTAGTCAAATCAATTCAACTCATCAATCAACATTAACCATCCAATCACTTCTCTACATATCTCTATCTCTTGTCTTGACGGATTTGATTTCTTCTTCTTGTTATGCGATATTTCTCTAGTCTGTCGGACTCGAGAATGAGATCAGGTGGTGAAGAAAATGAAATGCTTCAACAACATCAAAAACTCAGTTCAAGTTCTGTCATATTTGGCGTGCAAATAAATGCAAATCGAGCCGATTAAACTGCCAAAACTGACACCTATGACGACATTTTTTACATCATTGTCCATCCCCATTCACAGTAACACGCCACCCCCGCCAAACACAATGACGTCATCGTCGGCAAAATCACCACGGTGGGAAAACGACGCGTTATAAAAAGACCGAAAAATGGAAGCACCAGGGATTGAACCCGGGACCTCTTCAAGATGCGATGAAACATGAATGCAAATGAAGCGTGATAGCCACTACACTATGCTCCCGATGATGTCATTTCCACCTGTACGGTTCACGCATTCCCTTATTCTGGGGCATGTTTAATATAGATGATGTTCATGAAGATATACGTGTTCCCTTGAATCTGACCAAATGTCTGGTGACTGTGAGTGACTTAGGGAGGTTGAAATCTGGTTGTGCAACCAAAAAGGTTGACTTTTGATGGTTTTGGTGTTGAAGACCACAAAACCGGATAATCAAAAGGTAAAAGGCTGCTGGTGATATTACTGAAAAATAGGCTAGAATTCTCTTTAAAAACAAGGTCACAAGGCGGAGGTTTTTTTAATCTTTATGCGTAGATGTGTAGATACGTAGCTAAAGTGGCATCAATGATCCTGTTATTAAAAATTGTGTGATGCGGATGGTCTGACACATCTTTTATGATACCTCTCATTCAAATATCCATCTTTGTATTTCATGTAGTTGTGACCTGTACTAGTAGTGCAAGGTTTGGAAACCCCTTCATTTCAGGATATCTAGTGGATCTCTGTGATGATGATGTGCGGATTTTGACTGAAACTTCTCATGATTCAATTCTTCCAGAAATCTTGTGATGTGTAGAAAGCAATACAAAAATTTCACAAAGGGAGATCAAAAGTGCTACTTGATAAAATAGGTTCAGCAGAAAATAATTAATTCCAGAAAACACATGAATAAAGAATTGTAATTTGGAAGGAAGAAGCTTTGGATAAAAACTTTTGGCCATTAGAATCGATTTTGTGATTGTTTGGAAGCCAAATAACGGAGCGTATATATAAGAATATCAGGTTTTCGTGACCGAAAAAGACAACAAGCATAGAAGAGAGAAATAAGAGACCGGAAGTAATGTGTTATGGTTTGTTATTTGGAGTCAACAATTGCTTTCAATTCTCCTCAGGCTGACATAACTCAAAGAATAAAAGCTTTACAATATACATTCAAACTGATATTATTCATGAGGAGTATAAAATAACGCGTTTCCTTCTCCATAAAAAGTGACGTCTGAAAAGATGAAATATGGACACAGATGTTAAGTACGCGCTAAGCAGATCTCATTGATGATTTCCAAACTCAAAGACCTTTGAAAACTCAAATTATAACTGCATCAACTTCATTTTTTCCAAAAAGTTAATATTTGTTTTGATTTGTTTCCAAATAACCAAATCAGAATAACTATTGTGACAAATCCAATAAGTGATAGAATAACTGCAATGTCAGCACGTCCAAGATGCTCATTAGAAGGGTTTTTTGATTTTTCTTCAACAGATGGTGTAGAAGTAGGTTGGTCACTTCTCTTTGTACGAATTCTATTCCTATTCTTGGGAATTCTTTGTATTTCAATCTGGATATTATTTATCTGTTGTAAGGGATGGTGACTGATTTGCATTACATTTGATGGACCACGAGTCCCCATGTTGGGTAAAGCAGCATCATGTGGGACCTTTGGATTCGTAACCAAACTGCAGAGCCAGGAGGCATAGCCTTCATCCTTCTTCTGGTCTTTACGTGGCATACTTCGAAGACCAGGGATCACTTTGAATCCTTTGATAGACCAAAACCTCTGACGAGTCGGTGGGGATATAGGAAAACGAGCCGGGGATGTTCCAGCGTGGTGTGTGGATTCCTCATCTGTTCGCAGGCTGTTCAAGTATTGACTTTGAACTTTGGATAATCCAGGTTTGAACTTTCTATTCGAAGAGTTCATGTTGGCAGATTGAAAGGCGGTGTGCATTTCTGGAGTAGTTGACAGGTCGTTCCGGATGGGAAGCTGGCTGAGGTTGAGCTTCTCTTGATTTAAACCGGCAGGAAGGGGAGTCGCCTGGCTGTACATGATTGAAATCACTGCTAGGCCAGCTACAAAACTCTTCATATTGAACGCGCTTCAGTGTTTTAGTGTTATGAAATATTTCGAAATAATTGCTTGAGCGGGGTGACTTTGATGAAGGGGGATTCGGGTATATGAAGAAGTGGCTTATATGTTAGGAGGTGAAGTGTGTCTTCAGCCAAGCAGGGTATCAAATAGAAGATCATAAATTAGTGGTAAAGCTTATCAGGAAGGTGGGACTACTCTTGGAAGCGCCAGGAAAACCTCGCCACTCAGGCTATGCTCGCTGTTAGCAATCGGACTGAAAGCCTATCTAGTCACAGCTTCCGAGCTTGATCTCGGGGACAACTATCGTTGGCTGAGAGTCCCGCATTTTCATGCGTGGTCTTCAAGGTATATATGTAAGGATCCCACTAGCTCATTTTTCCAAGGGAAAATGACTCAGCTTGGATCGGTGCACACTGCCTATTCAAAACAGCCCGCAAAACTAAGTATGGCGGGGCATCCTGGTCAAGCTTTTGGAAACCAAAGTGCTCAGGTGACAGAAGTGAACAGAAATTCAAACGCTTCAAACTTGACCCCACAATGAGATCGTGTTTCGTAAAGTCTTCCAGGAGTCTACTCGAATCTCAAACTGAATCTATTTGAAGGCGCGGTCGGTAGGAGGGGCCGATGCAATCTTTCAAGTCGCATTCAAACTGGGCAAAATGTAATGGTGAGACCCAGTTCTGCATATGACCATACAACAATACACTGATGGGATCTGATTGGAAAAAGCGATGAAAACTTTTCCCCAAACGGAGACTTCAACGGAGTTTTATGAGAACTGCGGAGAAGCAAAAACAGCTGATCAGGTTTCATGCTGTACCCTTGCATGAAGGAAGTTTGCTGCTAGATAATTATAACAGGAATCCATCGTTGTTGGCACATGACGCGTAAAGGACGCGGAGTTGGAGACCTCATAACTACGCCGAAATGCTACTTGCCGCCCCTGGGGTTTGATGGAAAAATTGGAACAAAACAGGCATACAAGGTTGTCCCATTAGCAGCCTCCTTGACTGGAGTGATGGAGTAAAGAATTCACAGATTTATGGACAATTTTGGGGTGCATCTTTGTAGATATTCAGAGAAGCAAGACCAAAGAAGCAACCTGAAACGGGGTTTGGGGCTGTTTGGGGTGGGTCTGAAGTACCAATGTCTTGAAGGGCTTAAGATTTCACATGTATATTGCACTAGGTAGCCTATTGGGTTTGATGTAGCTATTGCACAACTGCCAGTGTATCTCCCATCATGAGCTTGACTACTGAGTCTTCACAATAGGTCCCTCTCAAAACTTTAGTACCCAACATTTCAACATATACAAGAGGAGCAGAAGAGAAAAGTAACATAAACAAATACAAACAATGATTTTCCTATCAATGATGTTGTGTGTGATTATTTATCTAAATAGGTCTTTAACGAAAACAATCCTAATTGGCAAGATGCTTAGTGGTTAAAGTTTTGGTCTAAATATGAAATTTCATAGAATGTGAATTTATATTACCACTGTAGCCTTTGAAATTAAGCTCTTGTCTCAACTGAAGGCTCTCCTTGAGCATGATATACAAGTTTGGCTACTATAAGTTCAAAATCTTTGATGATGAAAGACATCATCAACATCCAACCATATATTTGTCAACCTCAAGAGTGATTAAAATTGAAAGTAAGTCTGAGGGCCGGTTTCCTTGATCATATTCTGATTAGAATGCACATTTTACAAATTCCAAAATGGCAAAATTAAACAGATTGGACATAACAAGGATTTTAAGTGGGAAAGAATGAAATCCCTGGTAAGGTTGCTTAATTAAACATGACCTGATTATGTTACATTGAAAACATCAAAAATCAGTAACATTCAAATTTTTGATTTGCTTTCTATGCCTTCCTCAATACAAAGACACTACTCTTCTCATTACATTCATCTGTTAAACCCTTGCAGTCAAATCAACCCAGTATATATGTATCATAAGAAGGTCAATAAATCTCTCCAAATTGCATCCTGAAGTGGCTATTGTCCTATGAGTGACAGGATCTAAAATTAGCCACCTGGGAATTGCTCCCTGGATATCTTTGATAGAAAAAAATGAATGCAAGAAATTATGGGCTTATTGATCCTGGTTTGAGAATATGTTCACACTAGGACACGATCAATATGAATATGATTGTATGCAAATCCCTGAAGGTATTTTGCTGTTCAACAAAGTATAAATTTCAGAAATAAGATATCTAAAAAAGTTCCACTTCTATCATCAATTTCAAAGAGATATGCATATGAACTGATGGATCATATTGATCTAGAGGCATGCAAGTGTTACCCACCAAGAAATATGATTTTGCTAATCAGTTTGAAGACAAAATCTTGTGGGTCAAATGAAAAAGAAGGACTGAGAGATTGCTCTGGATAAATTCAACAGACAGGAGTTGAGTAGGACTATGCTGAAGGATACGTGAAGTGTAGCTTATATCCAAGTGAAACTCACCACTCCCCGCTTGGAGATACCTGATCAAGCAACTCATGCCTACAATCTTATCAGGTTCTGATGTATAAGCTGATTGTCCTTTCTTTTTTTGCAAAGCGTTACTTACAAGCATTACTTGTCAACATTTGTTGGGGATCAGAGTTTTGCACGACTGAGTTTTTTTTTCAGACTTACCATGCTACATGGGAGCGAAGAAAGAACACTGCGTGTAGCTTGTTTTTCAAATTTAAATCCAGCCAGCTTGCTTCAGAGGATGTACATTGAGTTGCCTCCAACGCCTGAGCATAGTCTGTCGCGAACTTGTGATATTGAAAAGGTTTCGTATGAATCTCCTCAACAAACACTTTTCAATTCACATCTGCACATATCACGATGTTGGTCATTTGTTTATAACGCGCGTTCAGCATATGAAGACTCGAATTTTTTTTGGCGAGGGAGCTCCAACAGCTAGAATATAATCCACAAGTAATGCCTATGCACTCGCATACTTTTCAGATACAAAAGCTAACCCCATGTAAAATCTGTCTATCTCTTCTCCTGAATAGGATTTTATATTATCATTTTGTCAAAGCTCTTGTCAGATATCTGGATTGTAACTTATCTCATTCAAGTTGATCACATAGATCCGATTCCTGAGTGTTCAATCAATTTCGAGGAATGCGGTGGCAAAAATATAACTTCAATGAACACCCGAGCATCGAATTTGACAAGAAGAGCAATCCCTCCAAAAGTTCATGATCCAGAGTGTCCTTCATGTGAGTTTCTAAAACTTACTCGGACAAAGCCTCAAAAATGGAAGAACCGGGGATTGAACCCGGGACCTCTTCAAGATGCGAAGAATCATGAATGCAAATGAAGCGTGATAGCCACTACACTATTCTCCCATTGATGTTTTGCGCCAGTTCTTGGTACAGAAAAAAAACACATTATGTACTTTGAAAAAGTAAATGACGTCCCGTTGCTGTTGCATTATGCTCCATTCAAGAGGTGAGGTCAAAGGTCGATATACCTTCGGTAATTTTTTCTTTTTTGTCAGCTTTTTCATATGATCGGGATGGTGATTGGCATTCGAATAGGATGAAGAATTTTGATCGAAGGTGAAGATTCAGAAGAATTGATGAGTTGTGATATGTAGATTAATTTAAAATGCATTTTCGAGAACCATAGTTTTGCCTTTGAATCAAGTGTCGATCGATATTTTCAAAGAAAGGCTTTGAGAATGAGAATCAATGAGAATGAGAAAGAAGGGATGAGATAAGTTAAATACAATTCAACAGAACAAAGAAGAAAGAAGAAAGAAGAAAGAACTATGAGGTCATCAACCAATTCATCATCAACTTCAAAATCATCTCATCATACTTTACTTTCAATCGATCAACAATCTCATCATCAACACTCAAATCATCATGAATTCAATAATGACCATGATCGAACTAACTTCAAATCACATCCATATAAACCTATTAGAGATTGGCTAAGAAGAGCACGTAGGAAATCATCATTCAAATTACCTGCTCTTATCACTGCTTTACTCACTACTTTGGCTTTCTCAATTTGGTGGATTAGAATACCATCATCAACTTGGAGGAGACCTAGTAAGTCTATAATCCTGACTTCATGATAAACAACAACTGATCAGGGTTTTCATTTGGTGTAGATCATCAATCATCAAGTTCAATCGAATCCTTAACCACCACCACCACAAAATCATCAAGGAATTGGCCACTGTTTACCCTCCTCATCGCACCTCATCCTGGTAGACCAATTCAAATCAACCTAGACATCATACTAAAATCAATACCATCACAAACTGCTCATCTACAGCTTCATTCCATCACATTGATTTGCACATCGCCATCCTCTTGTCCATCTACAATACCATCTCAAGTTCAAAAACTCACCAATCTCAACTCATTCTATCCACACCCAGATTCAAAAGCGGTCCTCTTGATCGAATCAGAACTTGGATTATCAGACCTCAATCCTGATTGGATCTCTAATGCTCTTGATTTATTATTCCTGGATCCTCAAAAACCAAGATCAGATCAGATCATCAGTGCAACGGGACTGATCCGATCTCATCATCATCACCTACCTACTCGATTAGAGTGTATAGTAGGAGATGCTCAAACCATCACTCGAGTCGAATTACCCTTGACACCGATCCTCATCAAATCTCAACCTTGGTCTAGGCTCACTGATTACTCTGAAGATGATTGGTTAGCTAGCTCTGGGTTGCCTTCTTTGAGACTCAGCCTTGATCTCTTTGAACGTCAATTACCTAGCTTTGTGATGCCTACAATGGATTCATCAGCCATTTGGAAATCGTGTGAGAGAGGATTAGGCGAATTGAGGGCTTCAGCTATTGGACCTGGTTTAGAGGCTCAATTAGTCCAACATTTAGATGACACATTACATTTCGAAGATGAACGGAGACAGTCCGATCAAAGTGGTGAAGGCAGATTGTGTGTGCTTTTAGAAGAGCTTAATCAATTGGAAGAAGGCTTAGGATGGGACTCGATCATTTGTAATTTCTTAGAAAGAGGTGTTAGTCTAGATGTTCTAGTGATGGTAGATAGATTAGATGAAAGATCAGAAGTCAAACAACGAATGAAATTTTTAAAATGTGTGACAGATATTGAAATCATGACTAGGACCACAAGTAAGACTAGAATCGAATCGGAATCAAGATGGCATCAATTTTTCGTTTCAAGAAATTATTCTGTTTTAATCTATCCTAAAAACTCAATGGATCCAATTGCTAAATATGTACTTGAACATCAACTTGGAACAGATTTCGGTCAGTTTAAAGATGAAGATGAAGATCATCAAGTCAAGAGATTGGTGGCGATTGGTTTACCAAGTGGATCTGTAAAAGGAGCGGATTGGATCACTGGTCTTGAATTACATGCTTTACGAAGTTCAGTGTTTTTTGAAATCTTCGACTCTCTTTCATCATTTATTCATACTCTTATTGAATAACCAAAATCTTCTCTTGTACTCCTTCTCAAATGGTTCTTACTTTTGGAAATCCGACTATACGCGTATCTGACTGCACGTCTTCACTGATATTACTATTGGATTCAAATGGGTACAGGCAAGTTCATTAGGTTTCATTCACACTGAGATCAAAACAAGACATGCACATGATCAATCAGATGAGTAGTGATGCAAAAAAACAAAATCATATCAGAGTGCCTTACAGCTCACATGATTGTTTCTTCCCTTATCCTCCATTTGAATCTGATGATTTTTCTATATCTTCATTTGCATTTCCATCCGTCATAAACCATGAATCCGAATATCCAGATTGGTATAAGCCTAAGATCGACATTTCAGTGATTACCAACGATCGACCGAATTCTTTAACAAGATTAATGGATTCATTAAGTCAAGCTGATTATTATGGAGACGAAGTCAACTTGATCTTAAATTTAGAACAAACATCTGATTTACAAACTCGAAAGCTTTGTACAAATTATCAATGGAATCAAGGATCGAAGATCATTAGACAAAGGATTATCCATGCAGGACTTTTACCTGCTGTGATCGAATCTTGGTATCCTTCTTCGTTACATGATTCGTATGGAGTTTTACTTGAAGATGATGTAGAGGTTTCAACTCAATTTTATGGTTGGCTTAAGTTTACTTTACTTAGTTATCGATATTCATCTCAAAAAAATCAAAGTCAATCTCTTTATGGAATTTCACTTTATCAACCACAACATATCGAACTCAAACCAGAAGGTAGAAGACCGTTCAATGCCACTGAATTACATATCAAACTAGGTTATGATCCTATCACATCACCTTATCTTTCACCTATTCCATGTTCTTGGGGTGCTTTATTCTTTCCAGAATCATGGATTGGATTTCAAGAATTCTTATCATTAAGATTATCAGATTCATTAAAACCGAAATTAGATTTAGAAGGATCAGCAATCTTATCACCGATCAGATCTACAAGATGGCCTAAGAGTTGGAAAAAATATTTAATTGAATGGGTTTATTTGAAAGGTAAAGTGATGTTATATCCGAATTTTTGGAATTTCAAACGATTCGAAAGTGAAAGTTTAAGTACCAATCATTTAGAAAAAGGAACTCATATACATGAATCGGTAGAAGAATTGATCAAAAAAACCTTTGAAGTGAATTTAATGATGATCAACACTTCGAATTCATTGCTAAGTTCCATTGGATTAGGTCATCGTCATTTACCTAAATTGATCAATTTGATGTGTGTTGATCTTTGGGGTGAGATTTGTAGTCTTGATGAACTTCTTCAAAGAGCTTGGATTGGGGCTAGAGCTTTAGGGTTTTGTGATGAAGATTATGAAGGGAATGAACGATTGATTGGATTGAATGAATTGGTTTGTTGATCATCATCTTAGAAGAAAATTCAAGACCTTTTTTGTTATCGTTGTTGTTGTTGTTATACATTGTAGTTTCTTCTTTTTTGTTGTATTTTTTTTTGAGATTAATATTATATATGTAGGAAAAAAGTCTTTCTTTTTCAGATTGGTTGTATGGTTTTACTTGATGTGACTCTGAGAAATGGGTTTGTTTTATTGATGAATGTCTTGAGTGATTTTTTTAAAGGAAAGAAAAGGAAAGAAATTTAAAACTTTAATTGAATGTTTTGGTTTGCTTTGTGGGTTTCGGATGAAGTGAGAGATATGGACTTTAAGATTGGGTAATTATCAATCCAATATTTAATTTATGATTCAAAATATCGTCCATCAAGTTTGGTTTGTTTGTTCGTCATTGTTTTTAGTTTTTACAAGCACCAGATTAATTTTGGGTCCAAGTTTGGGATCTTTCAAAGTGTTTCAAATAGTGAACTTACCAAGTTTCTATCCGATTGAAATATTAATAAGAAATGAGTCAATATAAAAAGAGACCTCTATAAAAAAGTTCTTATTTTTTCAAGCAGATCATTTTTAAAATCACTTTGAATGTTTCTGCACCAATTGAAAGCCATTCCTACATCTTATTGGAATATAACTTTGATCAATTTCTTGTCAAAAGGAATGAAAAGGGTGAGTCATGAAAAATATTCATGAGATATAAATTGATAAATTGGAATTATAAGAGGAATCTGAGGAAAATTGAGATCTATATATAATAGTGAAAAGGGTAGTATGATCTAAACAAGTTCTTGTAATTACTATTCACCTTCTACTACATACTTACACCATGGAAATCGATATGCGGGACATAAAACAAAAGTATATCACATTTTAACTCTTCGAAGTTGGCATGCCGAGCATAAAGCAGAAGTATACTACATTCTCACTCTTCAAAGATTCCAGCTTATCAATGAAGATAAATTTGCAATCAACCTTCTCATTTCTGCTTTTGCTTTCACCGTCAGTAAAAAAAGGGGCCTAACCGGGAGTTGAACCCGGGACCTCGCCCAACCACTTGGTCAACAAGGGAGTTTTCCTCCGAAGGGCGAATCATACTACTAGACCATCAGGCCGTGGATGCGAGGCAGGTCCATTTTTGAATGCATATAAGCTGGCATTGCAAACAGACACAGCTTTTGATTGCTCATTTCCATGGGAAGGATATCTCTAGATGTGTTGGACGCCTATGTATACATGTATCATAATGAGTCTTTATGGTGATCCACTGCAGCGTCGATCAAATCAAGATTTCGATCACTTCAACTTGCTCCAGACATGGCCGGGAGGGGCACTGTGTCACTTTCGGTCGGGAATTCGGGTATGGAGAGCTGACCCGACCTACCCTGCAGGTGACTCGCGGTACTTTGAAGGGCATATTCCGTTTGTGGCAATTTGCAAGTTTAAACAAGTTGATCAACCACTTCGAAGGGAATCAAGACCTTCGATCGTTTTTTAGAACTTGCACAAACAATCGTCACGAAAGAATTCACGTAGACAATCGTTTATTTTTCCTTATCATCAACACCACCTTATATGCCCCAAAAAAGACCGCCAGACAACGGCGGAGGGGACCCGGATCCCCATCCCTCAAAAAATCCGACCAGAACCGCGAACGAATTGGACTCGATGATGAGCGAAGTTAACTCTCTCTCGTCAGGAAACTCTACAACTAATGATGGATTAGTCCAACTCATGCTCAAGATGATGGACACGATCAACCAGTTGAACAATACGATCAACGAGATGCGGGAAGAAATCCGAACGCTTAAAAACGAACGCCAAACTACGACACCAAAAACGACTCTGACACCTCAACAGCTACCACCTAGACCCACTGCTTGGACGAACCCATACCCAAAGAAAACCACAAACGTAACCCAAGCTCCAAAGACCCCTCCAAAAAATTCAGAAATCAATCAATTCAAAGCTGCCACGCTGATCATACACGCGAAAAAAGATGCAGAGCCATTCAAAGGCCTTTCAAACCTAACGATTGTGGAAAAAATCAACGCGGCACTAGAATCGATCAATGCTAGAGTTAACAACACCCCTGTTAGAATCAAGTGTGCGGCGCTTATGAAATCAGGCGATGTCTTGATGACAATGGATAACCGAATGATCAAGAATTGGCTCTTGGAAAACAAACACCGATGGACTAAACTCGCTCACAAAGACTTTGAAACGACCCAAACTCGATACCCCATCCTCTTTAACTATGTACCGGCCGAAATCAACGTACAACATTCAAGTTTTCTCATCAAATTAAGTGAACAGAACGATATCCCTCTCGAAATGCTACACTCAGCCAGATGGATCAAGAACCCAGAAGACACAAAGAAGAAACACGGTACAGTTGTGGTTAATCTAGTTGACAAAATACTTGCACAGAAGATTGAAAAAGGCGGATTAAACTGTGATGGAAACAGGTTAAAAAGCAAGAATTACATCCAAGGCCCTACCATGTGTTTTAATTGTTTAGATTTGAACCATACTCACACAACATGCAAATTCACCGCTCACTGCGTTAAATGTGGAGATCCACATAATTCAAAAGACTGTGCTAACAATGACGTTAGCCAAAACTGTGCCCGGTGTGTCAGCTTTGATGCACAGAGAACTAACTCCCACATTGACAGATTCCTGCCCAAATACGCTCACTCCCCAAAAAGCCTAACATGCCCATTAAGAAATACCCAATTTCAGATTGCTAACCATCAAGTAACTGAAAATGAGTCATAATACATTATACGAATCACACAATCTTGCCCCCCCCAGCCCACAAATCGAATTAGATGACATCACCCCCGACGACGAAAGCTTCACCGACACCCCAATGAATCTCGACAACCTCTCTATCCTTCATTTCAACTGCCATAAATCCCCGGAAGTTACCCACGAAGTCCTAACAAATACTCACTATACGATCCTAGCCCTCCAGGAACCATGGTTCAACGCTCACAATCTATCTTTTCCATCCCACGAAGCATGGCATCAAATAAATGCATACGATTATTACCCCAAATCTTGGGAAGACCGCCCCAGAGTTTGTATTTATATCTCCAAACTAATCCCTACAGACCAAATCACAATCCTACCAAGCAAATCCGACATCATTCTTAGTATCGAAATCAAACACCCTGAAGATAAACTCCCTAAACTCCGACTCATCTCCTGGTACAACCCCCCAGGATCACTCCGTGGAATGGTGTTCCTCGAACGATGGCTGCGACTTCATCACAAAAGAAATATACCGACAATCATAACCACAGACTCCAACCTACATCACCAAATTTGGAACCCCCCAAGTTACACCAGAACCGACTCACAAGCCAAGAAACTACTCCAGCTTTGTGGAAACTCAGGCTTTACCTTGAAATCCCCGAAGGGCGTACCAACAAGGTTCTCAAAAGGCACCAACCCTACAGCAATTGATTTAGTGTGGTCGAGCTGGAGCCTCAACGAGAAGATCGTCAGCTGCAAAGTCCTGACTGATAACTTCGGTTCCGACCACCTACCAGTAGCTACTATCCTTAATCTCGCTCTTATACCCCCAACCCCCACCCACATCGCCCTCAAAATCGCTGACATAAACATCCCCGTTCTGCAGGAAAAGATAACAGGTGAATTACGATGCCTCCCACCAGACTACGCTTCTCCTAATGATATCAACCAAGGTGTAAGTGAAATAACAAGAATTATCTCAGATGCGGCAAATGCACAAGGAAAAAGAGTTAAAACTATCCTTAAGAAACACAAAGTCTGGTGGGATGCCGAAACCCTGAACCCAATCCTCAAAAACCGAAACCGAGCCAAACGGTGGATGATACTCACCAACTCAACGGAAGCACACACCAGTTACTTAGAATGGCAACGTTATTTCAAAAATCAAGTACTGAAGGCCAAAGCCCATCACTGGAAGAACTTTCTAGCGACCAGCTCAGGAACCGACACCTTCAAAGCTTTTAAGTACACTAAGCCCACGACCTCGGGGGAAGTGGCACCACTCCTGGACTCAGAAGGTGCTGTGGTAGTCGACAAACAACAACAGGCCAGACTCCTCTTCGAAGGTACTTCAATAGCCCACATCGACGCGGACCTTTCCGACATACCCTCCAACCCGGAAAACCAACATCGAACCAGCCTACTCAACTATCCGAAACTTGAAATTGAGGAACTTAGAAGAATCATCACAAAATTACCGAGCAGAAAAGCCAAAGGAGAGGATAACCTATCCAACGAATTATTGAAATTAGCCCTCCCAGCCATCGAAGTCGAACTATGTAGACTTTTTAATGCCTGCTTTGCACTAGGTCACTTCCCTGACGGATGGAGGTCAGCGGTTACAGTAATCATCCGCAAATCAGGAAAAGACAACTACTCAATCCCAAACGCATATCGACCCATAGCTCTTCTCAGCTGTATAGGCAAAATCCTAGAAAAACTTATCACTAACCGAGTAACCTATTGGGCGGAAAACCATAGCGTCATCTCACCAAACCATATGGGAGGACGTCGCCAACACAGCACGGACGACGCACTAGTGATGCTTCTATCTTGGATTAAGAACAAATGGCGAGAAAAAGAGGTCGTTTCAGCTCTCTTCCTAGATGTCAAGTCAGCTTATCCATCGGTCCACAGAGAACGGCTCTGGCATACCCTTCAAACAAAACACTGCCCATCATACCTTCTCAAACTTATCCAAGGCTTCCTCACGGAGCGCACAACTAACCTCCGCATTCAAGATTTCCTATCAGAGAAATTCAACATCGATAACGGTCTACCCCAAGGATCGCCGCTTTCTGTCATACTGTATATCATCTATAACTCAGAGCTACTAGGTACTAAACCACCGTCACCAAATTCAAAAGAAATCTCAATTGGTTTTATTGATGATGTAGTTCATGTAGTATCTTCGAAAACTCTCACAGACAATCTAGACAGCCTTAACCAACTCGCCGAAAAATCTCTAAGGTGGGCTCAGAAGCATGGAGCAATCTTCGACAAGAAGAAAGCCCAACTGATGCATTTTACGACAAAAAGGAACCAGGAAAACCCTGATTTCCTTTTTGGAGACATCCCGCTCAAACCAAAGAAGGAGGTAAAGTGGCTGGGACTTTGGCTCGACCCCAAATTGAATTTCAATAGTCATCTCCAGCACGTCAAAAAAAACGGTGAATACACATTACAGCAATTCAAGAGAATCAACAAATGCTATTCCGGATTAAATATGAAGGAAATTAAAAAACTTATAAAATCAGTCCTCATCCCAAGGGTACTGTATGGTAGCATCGCGTGGTTAACATGCAAAAACTCTAACAAAGCTAACAAAATCTTAGAATCCATCCAGAATAGCGCAAACAGGATAGCTCTAGGAGCCTACAACGGCACATCGAACGAGATGACCAGACATGACATGTACATGACACCTCTCATCTGGACAGCTACAAGCAGGAACCACCAGTTCATACTCAAACGCCTATCAGCTCAAGATTCCCACCCGACTCGTAAATTCATCGAACATGAACTATATTTCAAACATAAAACTCACCCAGGTCCGATCCACGATGCTTTGAGCTTACACCGACTCCGGCCTCTAACCAAAGAGAACGTAGAAACTATCTTCCCCCACCCGATAGCCCCATGGGCGAAGAACTTTGGCGAAACCGTAAACATGGACAAATCAAAGGAAGAAACTCTGGAGCTTCTCCCTCAACAGATACGAACAGAAGAAAACAGTGGAGCCATCATCATTTTCACTGATGGATCAGTCAAAGCAGAAGGGGGTGGAGCTGCTGCAGTCACTGATACATTCAGTAGAACTCAGGCTGTCGAATACGCTGACAATTTCTCCAATCATGAGATGGAACTATTAGGCATCCTGCTTGCCGTGGAACTTGCTAACGACCTAATTCGCAGAAACAGATACGAATCACCAAATCTAGCCATTTTCAGCGATAATCAAGGAGCTATACGCCTAGCCCAAGATATTCCAAAACCGACCACAGGCCAACACCTCCTGATCAAGATCAGAACACAACTGATGAGATTACCACCCTCAACCCAAATTAGGTTCTACTGGACCCCGGGTCACAAGGGAGTAGAGCTGAACGAGCTAGCAGACGAACTAGCAGGTAAAACAGCGGACGAACAAGTTGAACCAACCCAACTACCGACCAGCCTGGGAAGCTTAAAACGCCGAATCAAAGCAACTTATAATGCTAATGAATTTCCTTTCAAACCAGGCAAACACCCTTATTCAACAAAACCGAAGCTAATCACTAAAGGCCTCGAAGAACTTGAAAAAGGAGGCACAGCATCGATATTCCAACTCAGAGCGGGATACAGCCCACTGAACGATCACCTCTTCAAACGAAAGCTTACTGACTCTCCCTTGTGTGAAACATGCAAGGTCAAAGAAAGCACTCACCACTTTCTCCTTTATTGCAGGCGATATTCAAAAGCGAGGAAAAACTTTAGGACAAGACTCAGAGAAGAAGGAATCAAAATAAATTGGAACAATGTCACCAAATTATTAGACTCACCCAAAGTTTTCCCATTACTAAGCAATTTTATTTTAGATACTAAAAGATTTGTTCATTTTCATTCATACCTACAGGATCTAGACCGAGGAGAACGGCCACGGAGCAAAGGACGAGGTGTCACGAGATGAAGAAAAAAGATAATTCCAGAAACAAAAATCGCTGATAAGTGCTCATGTAACTGGGCTCGATTGAAAAACATCAGAAACAGCGTACTGCTTAATCTCGTTACAGAGTTTGATAGGTAATAACCATCGAGGCAGTCTTTTCAATTCTCTGATCAAAACCGCTTATAAGTACCCACGTAACTGGGTTCGATTGAAAAATATCAGAAAAGCGTACTGTCAAATCTCGTTACGGAGTTCGTTGGATAATAACCAACGAGGCAGTTTTTTTTTTTTCCATTACCACTTTGATCAAATAAATCGCTTATAAGTACCCACGTAACTGGGTTCGATTGAAAAATATCAGAAGAAGCGTACTGTCAAACCTCGTTACGGAGTTCGTCGGGTAATAACCGACGAGGCAGTTTCAAATAAAAGCTCAACGATTGTTGTCTTTTCATATATACCCATCAATTCCTTAATTGGAAAGTGGAAGTGTGCAAACGGGGTGAAAATGTTGGATCCAAAGATCTAATTATAAAGTTCTCATTCAAAAAAAAAAAAAACATTATCTATATCGTAATCAAGTGACACCGAATCCTTTGCTTCGACTAGATGGCCGACCTCTCCAAGGTAAACTAGTCCTTACTTTTTATAACTTGTTTAGTTAGTGTTTTATGCAATATATGCCAAATGCACTTTAAAAAAAAAAAAAAAAAAAAAAAAAAAAAAAAAAAAAAAAAAAAAAATTTGCAAGTTTCAAGACAGCAACCACCAATTTAATAATCTTCACCTCTTCAAAAACCAACCAAGCACACTTATCCACAACTGCTTCGAGAACTCAAATCAGCATACTCAATGATGAACATTCAAACTACCATCTCACTCCCAACAACGCCATTCTCCCAATTCCAATCTAGTCTCAAGTCTAGCCTCGATTCATACCTCATCACTATCGGTAATCAGCGTGTGGATCAAAGTTCACAAAATCCACTTACTACCTTTGATCCACTTGTTGTGATCGAACTCTCTTCTGCTCTCAATGTGCTTTGGTCTCAACTTCCTAGCCTTCCTTCTACTGCCTTGGAACTTCAGCGTTCAATCGTCTCATCAGTTCTCACTTCCATCGTTAGCCAAACCGCATATCCGGCTCAACATTCCTTCTCACTACCAGTTCATCATCAATTACTTCACGATGCTCTCGACATTTCTTTAGTCTTGATTGAACAGGATAGAGCACCGGCTGATCTTACATTGAGCTGTATCGAAGACATTCTTGAAACAGCCACAGTGGAAGAAGCTGAGCGGATATTCTGCTACCTCGAATCTCGTGTAGATCGATTAACCGTCGTCAGTATCTCGTCCAGATCATGGTTGAATGAATCGAAAGCCGAGTTACTCACCTCATTCGATCTTCTTCTTTGGTCTTTTATCTTTTAAAATCAACTCAGGGAATGCTTCCGGATCGTGGAAAAGGTTTAATTTTCTTAAGAATGCAAAATAATCTATTAAGAAGACTATCGAAATCACTTCATACTGTCTTTTGTGGAAGAATTTTGAGTTTTCTTTCCTCGGTCTTTCCGATTGCTGAAAAGAGTGGTGTCAACCTGAGAGGAGCATTCAACACGGGAAATGTGACACACTTCGATCAAGATATCGAAAAGAAGGGAGTCGAAGCGGTCGATTCACAAGGGAGCGAGACTATCAAGTCGGACCCGGTGGTCGAAACCAATCTCCTTAAATCCAACGAAACAACTGCCGATGCCATGATCATCGAGAAGTCACTCCCAGCTTCCCAGGACAAACCCATCCCTTCGGATGAACCTGCCTCTACAGACCCAAAGATTCAGACCGACTCTACATTAGACGGCGAAAATGTTGAGAAGTCTTTTGAGATGAAGGAAGAATCACCAGAAGAAGTAGCAGCGAGATCTCGGGCCAAAGCAGATGAACAAGAAGCCCGAGCCAAGGCAAAAGCAGCTTCAAAAGCCGGCAAGTTATTCACTATGGCCACACCTACATTATTAAGTCTTTTCCAACCGGTAATAATCCGTCTCTATCATTTCTCGGCTTTTGCGTTTAGCTTCCGACAAGCGAGAGTTTTATCTACGTTTTTGGGCACTTCAATCTCTACTCTCCAATCCACCCGAACTTTTCAAAGGATGGCAGCCTGATCCCAACGCCACACCAGCAACGGTTACCCCGCAGTCCAACCCTCATACATATCCATCCTCTCGCCCTACATCGCTCCTGGCCCCTTCAACAAGTCTCCAGCGTGCCTCGCCTGTGCGTGAGGTCGAGGCGGCACCATCAACGGCCAACTTGAAACGTCTGAAAGAAGGGATCAACAAAACTCTGGATGTCTTTGGTCGGATGACTAAGAAAGAAAAGGAATTGGGCACTCATTCAAAGAAACCCAAGATCGACGAGCGGAATTTGGCCGAAGTGAAAGAACATTATTTCTTTCCAAAGTTTCTCACAAAGAGCAACTTATTGGATCTAGAGGTCAGCCTTTGCTTTCACCCTTCAACTCTCTTTTTAGTCATGGTTGCTCGTCAATTGGCTTCGCCGACATCACTCCCTGCGAGTTTGACTTTGTTCGGGCAAGTATCACGCTAAGCCAGGTTTTCCGAATATATTGAATGTTGACGATTGTATTGATTTTTGTTGTTCTGATGATGTTGAAAAACTATGTGATCGTACCACCCTGTGTGTCGATTTACGCATCACATCTTGATATGTTTGGTGGTATTAATCCACATCTTACATGTGACAGGTTGCAGACTCCTACTTTCGTAGACAAGTTTTAACCCAATTTCTAATCATTCTTAAATACATTCGAGGGTTCTCTCTGGAGGAACGAAACAAGCGCGCTGCTTTACCCAAACCTAATAGGGTCAGCGAGGTTCCATACGTCTATCAGGCTAGGGATGTAAGTGATTTCTTTGATTTCTTTTCATCTCCTGCGACTGACATTTCGATGGTTTATAGGATGGATGGGTTCGGAAACTGAATGGCGAAGTATGGAAAACGCTTTATGCGACTCCGCCGAATGGCGAAGTGTTTGCATTGACTATCAAGCAGATCCTGACAAGGGAACAGAACTGGGTTAGTATTTTTTGTTGTGATGTTGATCGTTCAATAAACTGATAAGTGGAGTTACCATTTGACAGATCATGTGGAAAGCTGGCTCATGTCCAAGTTTTGAAAGGCCAAGTCTAGGTGATGAGATGATCAAGGCAGCTGAAGCCAATTATAAACGGATCATCGCACCTCCTATGCGATTTCCACATCCAGTTGGGACTCCGGCGCTTAGTAAGCTTTGGAGCAACAAGGTGACTCCGGAGAGCATTGAGAGTATGGACTTTTCAGAAGGGTGAGATATATTTTATTCGCACGTGTCTGCTTCCTTGTTTCAAAGTGGACCGTCTGACAAACACTTCCATACGTGCAGGGTTCCGGATCTCAATGCATTACATGGAAAGATCATGGCACAGGAGAAGCAATTGTCGGCTCTCAAAGAAAGTCTGTTGGCTCAAGGGAAATCTGATACAGACGTATCGAATGATCCACAGGTGCAAGCTATCCAAGAGGTTAGTGTATGGCCTCATGTTCCTGCTCTTCTCTTACACTGGGTGCGATTAGATCAATCAAACTGATGTGTTTTTCCTTCATTTGAAAATCAGCGAAAATCTTCACTTTCCTGGAGAGCGTTGAGAGTTGCACAGACTACTCATTTACAGTTGTTTGGCAAGATTGGTCTACCTGGAAGCGTGAATAAATTGATGACTCTGATCGAGGACGCCAAGACGCGCTCAAATGGGATCAACTCAACCCGACAATTGGCAACATCGAACCAAATGGTTTCGACTCCTACTGGAACTGTTGTGACCGATGCGACGCAGATAACTCCAGGAACGTCTGGGATTGAAGCCGAGTCCGATTTACTTTCGCGAACGAAAGACGGAGACGAGAATTCGGTACAGCTTGTGGCAAGCTCTGATAATCACGATGGACAACCTTTGCTGGATCCATTCGTTCAACCTGATATCGTGATGCTCGATGGTGAGAGCATCGAGGACACAAATCCAGTGACTAGCAAATCTTTGCCCGCCTCCGAAACTGAAGAGGAAGAGCCAGCTCCTGCTGTGCCAGCCAACCCCGATCCGGCTCCACCCATCTCCATCCCCCCACCACTCGACTTGCAGCCTCAAAAGCCACAGCCACAACCACAACAGCAGCAGCAGCCGCCTCCCCCTCCCCCACCACCATCGCAAGTCAATGTGCCCCACCACCCTCATGTGCCTAATGGTCCAAGTCGGTTCAACAATCATCATCATCATCTCTCACGCCATCAATCGCCTGCCACTCCTCACTCTGGCCGACTTCATATGCCTTCCCATCGCAATATGCAAGTTAACCCAATTGCAGACTCAATCACAGACATAGATCAAGTGATCAGAAGAGCAGAAGCAAGAGCAGCGCCTGAACTAGCTCGATCACATGCATAGTCAACGGATCATCGATCTCCATCAAACAGGTGAATTTAGACAAGGATCACATGTCGTACCAAATCATTCTAATAAACAAGTAAATGGACATAGGCTTTCAGGTTCTGGAATCGGTCAAGTTAAAAGATTAGCTGAAGATGATGGAATGATCAATGGAATCAAGAAATCAAAGACATGAAGAGTAATATATAGTTTTTTTTGTTTTTTGTTACTGTCATAAGATAGAATTTGAAGGGTTTCTTTGGAAATTGGAAAGAAGTTATGTAGTGAACGAAGGAATTTTAAAAGATGAAAAAGATTTTGACTTCATGATGTGAGAAAGATTGATTAAATTGAATTGAAACGAAATTGAATATATATGTAATGGTTTTAAGAATCTAGGTTTTGATGATTGAATGTTTTCCTTCAGTATATATTGGAAGCCAAAGATTATGATCTTCTTGAAATTTTGAAAAAACTTTGAAGTGAATGTGATTGTATCATTTGTCGCAATATATTAATGTAGACATTTGATGTTGAATAGCTTGAAAATGGTGATGATGAGATACAATTTAAAGCTTGATTGAGGATCAGATTGCTATGGTTGTTCATTTGGCTCAGACTGGAAAACGTTTCTTGATCCTTTTCAATAAATCTATGTACCTCTTCAGTAAGATCATTGGCAGCATGGACAGAATAAGCTGACATCATCATCATCATCATCATCATGATATTTCTCAGAATGTAGGACATTTGTTATGGAAAGATCTTATCACAGTAATTCAAAATTTTCAAGTATACATTATGTGTATCCAGATTGATCCAGGTCAACATGTCTTTGAAGCAAAATGTATTCACAGAACTGAAAGTAAGTTAACTTTGTCTCTTTGAATAGAAAGTCATTTGATGAAAATGGTTAGCAATGTCTGATCAACCAATCAGCAACTTACCTGGTGATTCAATCTGGTCCATGACACAACTTCATTGGAGCTTTGGTCACTTTCATCAATCCAAATTGGATGTATCATGTCTAATATGTCTCTTGGCATCACCGTGGCTCATGGTAGACCAAGTGGATTGTGAATCTCTTGGTCAAGCATGTGATATTTCAAAAGATAAGTGTTTCAACTTTATTACCTTACAACTACCAAACAAAGGTCTAAAGTATCGATTGGAGTCAAGTCCAATGTGCATCTTCTACTTTTGTCATAAGCTAGTGTTGATTGTCATGTGGTGGGCGCAAGTTTTGACGTTGAGGCAGGCACGGGCACAGATTTTGAGCTGTCCAAAGGCACGTCTATAATGGGTGTGCTGTTAGCTTAACAGAGCCCTCTCCTTGCCAAGGGGCTTATGCATGATTGTGGAATTATGGTGTGAACAGTGGAGAATAGAGTGCTTTTATGCAGTTTTTTGCATTTTGGTGCTTCCCTTACAAACAAACCTCACTTTATGCGGCAGGGAAAATTGTTCAAGTTTTCTACATGCTCTTGTAGCCTGACATCATGAGCACTCTTATTGGTGCAGACAAAAAAGTGGTTTGCAGCTCTTGACTACTTCTGCCTGTACAATTTCTGCCTTCAACAGAAAGTCCCCAATTAGTTTCAATGATTTCCTCAAAGCACATACAGTGTTGATACAAGCTGTAGACCACATTACATACTAGTGGGACATAAGCACTTGACAATCAAGCTCAAGAACAGCACAATGGAGAAGGGTTTCCCAGTTGATGAACAAGGAAACAAATGGAGGAAACAATTCTGAACAACTTTCACTGCGGCATCAAGGGAGGTTTGTTTGTGACCAATGTGAGGGAAGCACAAAAATACAAAAAACTACATAACAACACTGAATGCTTGGACTGTTCAAGCCAGAATTCCGCAATTTTTCATAAGCCCCTCTGCAAAGGCGCGGACACGGCCAAGCAGAGAAGGCTTTGTTAAGCTCAGAGGTGCTGGGGTGTGCCTCTGAGGCGTTATAATCCCCCAAAAAGCAAAAAAGGTAAAAAAGCATCTTTTGTATTTCATGTCCATCCAAAGTAGGCTTAGAGCATCCACAGTGGTGGGCTCCAAATCGAGCAAATTCAAATTTGGTGGGGCCCCAAATCAATCCGGATGCAGTCGTTTGGACTTCAAAAGTGTAGATTCTGTGTGTTTACACACACTTTGAGATTGGTGCGCGTGGGCTTACATGTGTGAGGTATGGGATTGAGCAAGTGCGGGAATTTGGAGCCCGGCTTTTTGTTGCCAAATTTGTAGCCCAAAGCTCGAAATTTGAAGCCGGCTACAAAAAAAATTGGCAATGGGGACTGCCATTGCACCAAAAAATCAGGGCTCAGTCACCAAATTTGGCGATAGCCCCGATTTGGAGCCCACCACTGTGGATGCTCTTAAAGTATTGAGAATGAGCCTGGCAATGGTTTGTTGATGTGTTCACTTCAGCAGACATCAATAATCCTGTCCATTGCTTTCCAAATCCAATGGTAGGTTGAGTCCACTAGGCTGAGGCTG